CTTTCGAATGAAAAATAAATTTCGTTTCTACCTCACACACAACTTGTTTTATTCAATTTTAAAGTTCACGTGCCCTTATTGGCGGACCCTTAATTATTAGAAAGTTAGTAAAGAACTTTTTTTATGTGATACATCTAATACATTCTTCACGCCCTTTATATTTGTACCTTGGAAAGAAAACGTACCGTCATGTATTTGTTTCGTCTCACATTTGGCTCTGCCGATGAAATTATGAGATTTGAAAGGTCGAACGCCACGTCTCCAAAATGCACATTCTAAATGACTGCAATTTCTCCAATCTCAAGACTATACAAAAATTGAGGTTGCCATACCTCCCATTCTGATATGTCAACTAGATCGATGGGATGACCAGTGGCTCCCTAAATAAACGATTGACAAGGAAGTTTCGCAATGAGCAAAGGGGAAAGTTACCATGTTGTTAGGATTTTCTTTGAAATAACAATTGTCAGCTGTAAGGCGTCCATGGCATATGACTCGTTCTGATGGTGAAGGCCGCTTATTATCTTCCTCAGTATCTGCCACAATTTCCAGCTATAAAATGCATTGTGTGTAAGATGTGCTCAAAAAACATACTTCAAGTTTTCCACAGAATAGTTTTATAATTATAATGGAAAAGATCTGATTAGTATTGGAAAGAAATAGTAAATCTGTTTCTCGTCGAACAGTCTGCGACAGGTGCGCATTATTTCGCAAGCTTTCAGCAGGCTACGAGTTTTGATAAGCGAGCAATTCCAGGAACCTTAGATTCTTAGATTATCCTTAGATTATCTTAATGCTGCTATATCTCTCATTATGCGATTTCAGGAGACGATACGATGTTTTGCATCTGCTTGTGTTGACAGGACCAGACCCTGTATTTCCGTTTTCAGTTTTTTCACATTTCCTTTTCGAATAATGATAAGGGTCCATCTATTCGAATTTTGATTAGGAGTACTATAACAGACGATAGGTCGTAGATTTGATTGATCTTTAGTGGTGAAGATAGGCATCAAGTATGATTTTGCTATTTATTACCTTTACTCGCTTCGATCTTTTTAAATTAAAGAAAGTGCCTAAAGGTATTTTAGTGTTTAATAAAATAGTACCCGTGGCATCACTTCATGTGGTAGAGAAAAATACTGAGCCAGCTCTCCTTCCACCGCATCATACATAATTTTCAATAGATGAGGCTCCACCGAAGTTTGATAACTGCGAATATTCTCGTAATTTTCCTCGATAACCCGTAGGAACTACAATCGTAAAAATAGAGAGTGCGGATGACAAAAGAGGTCTTTTATAAGCTGGAGAAAAAATTTACCTCTGATGACATAGTTGCACTGCTGATGCCATGTATGGAACCTATTCTTTCGGCAACCTAAATTATTTCAGCTTTGTAGATTGCCATATTCAATCTCTGGTTGAATTCCTCTTGTAAACAAAATTATTCAGCACATGGCAAGTATTGTGAGTCTGTGCGCTTTGTTCATGAAATCTCAAAATTTTTTTGTTTTTGTAAAATTCAGACGTAGAGGGCTTAACGCACCGACTGCAGAAGACATACTAGATTAGTAATAATCTCCGGAGCGACATAAGTTAGGACATTTCGGGGCTACACTAGGTAACCGAGAAATGTTTGAACATCTACATAGTAAGTATTCATTATAACATATTTCTTAAGCTGGTCAAATGTTTGCGCTTCCTACACTCCTACAGCAATCCTACACTGTGATCTAATTCCAGCCACGGCATCGTACTCTGTGTCAGAAAGATATATTGCGTTCCTGATTCCATAGCGCAGTCATTAAACAACATTGCACTAGTCTGGCAGTTGAAGAGAAGTAGAAACTACTGTGCTCTTTTTTTTTTGCGGTACCTGTCTTTATAAATAAACTAAGACTGACACCTATGATGAAAGTGACCAGTTGAAGGCGCGGAATTGGTGTAATAGAAAGGTTACAGTAAAAAAAAAGGACTTCTACCAAGTATGTGAAAAGCCAAACGAAGTACTAAGCAGTTCAAATTATTTTTTGTCAAGCATTTACCTCTTCAGTCAGATTAAGCAAAATCTATATATTCTATGCAGGCTGTCAGACAACTCTCTGCTAGTAATGTCAGCCAAATCAAACTGAAGTCAACATATTTTGAAGCATGTCAAAATCTGCCAAATTTCAACTTACCAAGCAAAGCTCACTCTCAGTAAGTTCTGTTGCTCGCCATCCTTTTATATAAGTTGTCACAAAAACCAGGTAAGAGATGTTTTGATCATCGATCCTGAATGATTTCTCAAATCGGCCGCAGGGAATGGCCATACCATTTGCTGTCACAGTTTCATGGAAGAATTTTGAGTTGAAAAAAGCAGCCTA